AATTAAAACCCCACATTCTTTTTTTATGTAGAAATTTATATGAGCATATAAAGGACCTAGAATAGCCAAAACAATCTTGAAAAAGAACTAAGTTGAAGGATGCACACTACCAGATTTTAAGACTTACTATAGGCAATAATAATTAGAATAATGTAATATTTGCATAAGGATAGACAAACAGATCAACAGAAAAAAGTAAAGAGTTCAGAAATATATATATGCATCTAACTATACATAGATATACTAGATAGATAGATTTGTGTTTGTTAAACTTCTTCCGAGAAACAGAACAAAAAGTGTGTGGTGGGGAAGAGAGAGAGAGAGACAGAGAGAGAGATGGATTTATTACAAGGAACTGGCTCATACAGTTATAGAGGCTGACTTGTCCCAAAATCTGCAGGGTGAGTCAGCAAGCTGGAGACTTGCAGGATTAGCAATGGCACAGTTCCAGTCCACATCCAAATGCCTGAGAGCCATGAGAGGTGACAGTGTAGCTCTGGTCCAAAGGACAGCAGGCAGAAGACCTAGGAAGAGCCACTGTTTCAGTTCCAGTTCAAAGGCAGGAGAAAAGCCGATATCCCAGTCCTAGAGAAGCAAGCAAAAGAATTCTCTCTTACTCCAGGGAGGGTCAGCCTTTTTGTTCAATTAAAGCCTTTAACTGGTTGGATGAGGCCGCTCAGGGAACACCATCTGCTTTACTCGGTCTACCGACTTAGATGTTAATCTCATCCAAAACACCCTCATAGAAACACCCAGAATAATGTTTGACCAAATATCTGTGCACCCCATGGCCTAGTCAAGTTGACTTATAAAATTAATCATCACTACACAAACACACACAGACACACACACACACACACACACACACACACATTGATTTGACTTTTAAGAAAGTGGTCAATGCAATGCAGAAATAAAAAGTCTTTCAAATAAGTGATACTAAAGCAACTAGATATCTGTATGGAAAAATAACCTCTTCCTTACCTCAAACTACAGACAAAATAGTAATTAGACAAGAAATAGACAAAAAATAATTTAAGATGGATCATAGACATAAATATGAATCTAAAGCTAGAAAACACCTAGGAGAAAATACAAGAATACCTTTATAACCTGG